GTGCTATGGCCTTTTGGTGACACCTCTGTTGAGTGGTCCCTGGGGAAGGTGTGCCTAAACTTGTGTGCTTTTAGGCCCAGCCCCACAGTCATCAAGACTGGGTCTACGACTAGACTTCCTTGGTTTGAATCCCAGCTCTGCCACTTCTGTGTGTCCTGGGGCACTCAAGTTTCTCAGTTTGCTCATCTGTAAAGGAGGGGCAACCCGGCCAACATGGAGTTGTCATCGTGGCTTTCACTGTATACTTATTAGGTGTTCCCAGTTTTGCCTTACGGGGTTGCAGAGAACAGACCCACGTCTCAGAAGGGTGGCACTAGTTTCCACCTCCCGGTAGCCACAGTGCAGTGAATCCTGACTGGTCCGTGATGGTCTCACTCCGTGTGCATGTGATTGGTGCAGGCAGGCTCATGTGACCCAGTCTCATCAGTGACATGAGGAAGTCTGTGTGGGAGCAGGGGTGTTCCTGGAAAGGATTTCTCAGAGACACCTCGAGACAACAGCCCTTTCCCTCCACTAGGTTTGCTCCTGCCCATAAGGCCTGGAGTTGTCCCCGCTGTTCCACAGGGAACCACACCATCAAGCTGAGGATGGCCAAATAGACAGGAAGACTGGGGACCTTGATGATGTCATCAAGCCTTTAAATTACCAACCCTAGAGCAGCCTGACTTATAACCTATCATGCAAAGTTCAAACTGCTTATTGTTGAGGCCAGCTAAGTAACCGCCCAAGGCACCCAGCTGATTGATACTCCACAGCGGGTCACATTTCATCTTTCTGAGATTAAGCCCATCACACCAGCACATGTGAGCTCAGCTGTGCACTAAGGGAGGACTTCCTGGAGGTGGTGGGGCTAAAATGGCATCTAAAAGAATGAGCAGGTAGACAAAGGGGGTAGGGCAAAGAGTAACATTCGAGGCAGACAGAACAGAGGCATGAGGCTGGAGACACCACGGCGTGTGGGAGTGGGAGTGGGAGTGTGGGTCTGTACAGCTGGGAGCCATGAGAGACCAGGCTGCAGAGAAGGGTGTGGTGGGTCTTCAGCCAGGCTACAGAACCTCGGTCCATCACAAGGGTTGAGAGGAAGCTCTGTGGACACCCTTGGTTTTGCTCACCCAGGGTCTTGCCATCCAGCCGTGTGCCCAGAATAAGTGCACTGAGCTGGCTTCTGCCCCCTATTCTGGCTGTACCCAGGTGCTGCCCCAAGTGGGGGCAAAGAGCCAGGGCAGGGGTGCTGGGCCGTGCTTCTCCAGGTGTGATATGCCTGCCACGCTTCTTTCAGCCCCCAAGGGCACTCATAAGAGACTTCAGCTGAAATCTGGGTCACCCTGTGCCCGAGTGGAACATCCATCAAACAGGCAGTTACTAAGTGCCTACAAAGCACTGTGCTAAGCACAGTAGAGAGAGGACCTGGTTCAAATCCCAATTTTGTTTCTTCCCAGCGGTGTGACCTTGAGCAAGGCACTTTACTTTCTCCAAACCCAGTGCTTTTACCGGTTAGTGAGAGATGGTGAAATCAATGGTGGCACTGTTATCTCTGGTGCTGGGGGCGGGGGAGTTGATAAAAAAGATGGACAAGAAGCTTCCTGAGCATAAAGTTGAGGTGGGAGAATAAGACAAGCAAACAATATCCTATTACAGACAAAAGTTAGGAAGTGATGAAACATGAAGCGGAGGGAGCATCTGAGCTGGGCCATCAGAAAGTAGAGAGTCTAGATGGGAGGTGATGAGGACAAACATTCCTGCTGGAAGACAAGGGTCACAAAGGTGGAGCAGAAGGGTTACAGAAAGCTGGCAGGTGCCGCTGTGTGCTCCTAAACCCTTCAGAACAGTACGCGCCGCAAACAGAAGTGCTGGGCAGAACTGTTGCACCTGGGCATCATTTACAACCTGTAACAGCAAAACTCTGAGCTTATGTCAGAAAGATGCAGATTCAAGTCCTGGCTCTACCACTTACTGTGTGACCTTGAGCAAGTCACTTAACCTTTGAGTCTCAGTCCTTTGCAAAACAGGTCTAAAACCTGATTCAAAGAGTCGTACCAGGGTATACGCAGGATCTGGGACCAAGACCCCATGTATCACCTAGCTAATTTCTATTTTAAAGCCCTAAGATCCAGCGCCACCTCCTGCAGGAGGTCTTTATGCTTCCCTCAGGCAGTCCCCAATACCCGCCCCACCCCAGGAGATACCCCCCCCATTCTACCTACCTACTGTATTGTGATCACCTCAGTCCTCTCCTGTCAGGCTCTGGGCTTCTAAGAGGGAGGGGCATCTTTTGGAGCCAGCTGCACCCCCATACAGAATGGGGATCTACCAATGCCATATTCCTCCCCAAGCCTCCACCCAAGCAGACACCGGAGGGACAAAGTGACTAAGTCTGCTGGGGTGGAGGGAAGGGGGTTTCAGGGAAGTTTCATAGTGATATTACCAGATCTTGAAGTTGGATAGGAAGTTGCTGGGGAAAGGGGTTCCAGGCTGAGACGGAAGCACCAAAGCACAGAGGTGTGAAGGGAAGGAGAAAACTGTGAGTCACCAGAGTGTTTGCCAGAGAGTGGCTGAAGAGAAGGATTCTGGATCCAGATCTGGAAAGGCCTCAAATGCCATGGCAAGAGTCGACCCTATAGACAGTGACTAAACACTCGCACACAGGTGGCACAGAGTCCCTGGGGTGAGGATGCTGTACTAGGTTGACCTGAACTTAGGTTGGGGGGGTGGTGGTGGGGTGAAGAAAATGACCGGGCTAGGGGCCACCGCTATCGGGTAAATACTGATGGAAAAATCAAAGAGGACCAAAAATCTACCTGGGTGACCAGTCATTCAGAATAGCTTAAACAGTATATCCACACTCCACTCCACTTTATACTTGATAAAAAGCTCATTTCCATAATTACTCCATGCTATACACACAGCAGCTCTCTGAAAACTTGCTGTTCAAGTGGAGCTGTCTTCATCACAGAAAAACTGACAGTCAGAGAAGGAACAGGACCTTGCCACTGTCAAGCAGGCCCTGGGGGGGCTAGTCACAGCCTGAAGCCACTGTCCTGGCCAGAAGTGCCAGGAGGCAGCTTTCAGCCATTTGGCAAGCGAACTCAGCATCTTTTAGAACAGTACCCTAGAGACTTGGAGATGACCTTTGACCCCCGAATTATTTTGAGACTGCATTGGTCACCTGGGCCTTAGACCAGATGCCCCCAGTAGGAGAGGGAGAAGCAGGACCCACTGAAGGGTGGGTTTTCCTTGGGTAGACAGGTGGTCAGGGGCTCGTGCACGGGGCATGCCTATCTATGAGTGCTCCAAACTGGACCCTGGGGCGGGGCTGGAAGAGGGTCAATCTCTCCACAAAGGGAAAGGGGCAGAGGGATTGGCCCTTTTGGGCCTTCCTAAGAAGCCCTCCAATGCCCCCTCCTCCTGGCACCCAGGCCCCAACAGCCGCAGCCTGAGTCATCACCCCAGTTTGAATGGTAGCCGAGAAAGCAGCCAGGGGGCTGCCTGGGGCTGAGGGCCAAGGGTTGGAAAAACAAGGCCGCTTTCTCTTACTCCAGCCTTGGAACTCAAGACAGGGTGGGGGGTAGAGAGAGGGCAGGTAGGTGCAGAATGGTGGGTGTCAACAGCCAGAGGGGAATGTGTGTATATGTGTGTGGGGTGGGGGTGGAGGGAAGCAGAGATTCAGAACCTGAGCTGTGGGCTTTTCCTTTTAAATTAACCTGTTTAATAATTACCTTTACAATCAAAGGAGCCAGGGCCCAGCAAAGACAGGGATTTCAACCCTCCAGACCCCAGCGGGCAGCCTGAGAAGAAAGTAAACAAGATGCCACTGGCAGATCTCATTCCATCTTGCAAACAATGGCGGGACTGAGCTCTCTGCTCAGACACAAACATCAAAGTGAGGTTTCCAGGCAAGAACTTTACCAGGCAGATAAGAGGCTTGGATTGAATTATTTCCCTGCATCCTGGAGCTCCCTCGAGCCCAGCGCCCAAGGGGGCAGGTTAGGGCTGGTCATTTTAACATTAACCTTGACCTGGAATTTATTCATTCATTTTGCAGCGGGGTAGAACCAACTCCACCTCAGCCTCCGAAAAACCAACCAGCAATAACTTCATCCCTTTGAACAGTCACAATGGTGGGCAAACAGGGATTTAAGTTACAGAGGATAGCTCAGCTCACACTCACACTCCACTGGGCTCCGGCTCCTTAAAAAACAAAACAAAACACCCTAATCCAAGCACCCACCAGGGCTCACAAAATCAGACCTGACCTGGCACTAGGAAAATCCAACTTGTTTTTCTTCAACCTCCCAAGGCCTTCAACTATTTTTCCTCCTGCAGCATCCAAGCCCAGCCTCAAGGCAGAGCCATAAACACGCCTGCTCCTCCCCCTTCCACGGTTCGGCAAAACACCCCCCTCCCACCTTCCCGGACCCCAAGGATTAAGAACCGTCGCGACCGTCACCCGCAGCCCCTCTCCTGCCCTCACCCAGCCCCCCACAACGTCAGCAACAGCCGCAGCACCTTGAGATAAACACCCAGTAATGATTTCATGCTACCCGCCGCACTCAGCAGAATCCCTCCCCCCCTCCCGCCCCGCCACCCTCCCGGCCCTGGATGGGGGCCGGCCCAACCGAGGGATTGGGGGATGGGGAGGGTGGTAGTTTGTTTTTTTCACTGCCGCGTCCCCACACCTGTTTTTCATTCATTCATTCGTTCGTTCATTCATTCACGTATTCGTCACTGCAGCCACCCCGGCCCTCCGAATCTCGGGAAGGGTCTGGGAGGGAGGGGGCTGAGATGGAGGAAGACAGCAGCCGGGATGCATTTTAGGGGGTCGGGGTGGAAGGACCCCGTTTGAAGGCAGATAGGGTGCCTTTGTCAAAAGCAGCACGAACTGAGGGGCGAGGGCGCTCCCCGGGGCTGGAAGTTGTTTTCCGAGCAGCGGCGGCGAGGACAACCGCCCGGGTGCGCCTCTTTGTCTCTCCCCGGCCGGCGCTGCGTCCCCGCGCGCTCACCTGGTCTTGGAGGACAGGAAGGCAAGTTTGATCAGGCCGTAGGTGAAGAGCGGGATACTCTCCTTGGCGACGCTGGCAACTTGCAGCCGGTGCTCTAGGATGTGGAGTTCCATCGTCCGCCCGCGCTCCGCCGCGGCTCATCCGCGGGGGGCGAGCCGCGGCTCCCGCCCCCTGCGCGCCCAGCCGGCACCGAGCGCCGCGGGCAATCGCCCCGGGGACCGGGAGCTCGGCGGCGGGAGGGCCGGGGCGGACAAAGGAGAGGCCGGCTAAGCTGCGAGGGGCCACGGGCGGCCGGCTGCGGGCGGCGGGCGAGGGCGGCAGCGCTGGCGGAGCGGCGGCGCACGGCGCCCGGCGCGGAGAGCAGCTGGTGTTCGCTGTAACAAACAACTTGCCACTCAAACGCCGGCCCGCTGGGCATGCGCGGCTACGGCGGGGCGTGCCGGGACTTGTAGTCACTCTCTGCCCGGCGCTGCCCGCTGCTGATGTCAGGGGATGGGCGGCCGAGCGAAGGGTCAGCCTGGTGCTCTGGAAATGCATGAGTGCGGGCCCCCACGGAACCGCTCGGTAGGCGGAGGGCAGAAGTGGGGGCTTTCAAGCCAGCCTGAGCCTAGGTGCAAGCTCTGTCACTTAGCGCTCGGAACTGGTGGCTTTGGGGTCAAAGCTAGTATCCAATGAAGCTCCAGCGCTTGAGGAGGCCCGACTCTGGAAGGGGAGAGATGAGGAGAAACCAGTAATTACAGTGCAGAGAAGCAAAACAGAGAGGGATGCTCGGGTCAGAGATGAGACCGAGGAGTTTAAGGGGTATTCTTGGAGGAGGGGACATCCAGGTTGGGTTCTGAAGGATGAATGGGAGCTCGCGGAGGAGGCGGGCGGGGGCGCGCGGGGACCGAGGCCAGGGGCCTTCCAGGCAGAAGGAACAGCGTGTCCAAAGGCACAGAAGCGTGAAAGCCTCCACCGTGTTGTGTTTGGCTTTGTTGGAGCGGAAAATGTGAGGGAGGAAAGTCAGAGATAAGGCAGGCGCAGTCACCAGGAATCCGGTCGAGAGGGGTTATGTGTGCAGAGCTAATGAGGGGGCCATTTATCCCGCAGGAAGAGGGGTGATGGCGACTTGGAAGGCCGAATTAGGGAAAAGTGTGAAATACATTTGCAAGGCTTCCCACCTCAGGGCCTCTATGTCAGTGACCATATCCCTCAGTGGTTCACCCTTAATGGCTGACCGGTTTTGAAATTTTCTAGGTTAGAGTTACTGGTGCTTTGCTATTTGGTAGAGTAATTTGGAGATGGGATGGGCAGACTGGGAACTCTCATTTTAAGGGAAGTTTGGGCTGTGCTCTTTCACACTTTTTCTCCCCTTCTCTGTTAGGTAGGAACATACTAGGCTCCCTCATATCCACAAAAGGGTGTGAAGCCTGCATGCTGATCTTAGAGCATGCCGGTCCCCTTATGTCTTTTTGTCATTAGAGAATGTATTAGCCTCTAATAAAGAATAGATTTACTTTGCTTTGTTTTTCTGTCTTCCTCTTCTAGAATCTCAACTCTACTGAGGTGGTGATTTTTGTCTGTTCCTGCTGTATTCCTGGTGCCTGCAATGTGACTGGCATGTGCAAGACATGCATTTAATATTTATGCAATGCATAAGTGCATGCATCTATTCCTTTAGAATCTAGAGATCTGGAAGGCCCCAAAAGAATTGCACTCAGGGCCAGGCAAGTAACATAACTGTGTGAAGCAGTTGGGTATCAGACAGTCGAAAGTGGTACAGGAGAAGGGAGGCCTGCCTGAAGGCATAAAATTTAATTTTAAAGTAACCAACAGGTGAAGCCAAACAAGACTAAAAGCAGGAATTGGCCAGCTTTGTAACTGGCTTTGGGTGGCCAAGTCAGTATTTTTCAGTCTGTAGGCCATGACCCATGAGCGCATGGTAAAATTAATTTAGCAAGGCATGACTAGCATTAAAAAATGAATAGAGAATGGCATAGTGCTTTGCACACAGTAAGGGCAAGTTACTGTCATCTTTTCTTTGTTCAGGAAATGCCTGCCTGGAAGTGTACATGTGTGCATTCGTGCACTGGATCTTGATTTGGTGCACACATGCAGGGGTATCCAACCTTTTGGCGACTTAGGGTCATACTGGAAGAAGAAGAGTTGTCTTGGGCCACACTTTAGATATACAAACACTAATGAAAACAAAAAAGATCTCATAATGTTTTGAGTAAATTTACTGTTTTGTGTTGGGCCACAGTCATAGCCATCCTGGGCCGAATGTGGCCCGTGGGCCGTGGGTTGGACACCCCTGAACATGTTCCTTACTGTGGGTCTTGGTCAATAACATTTGAAAACACTGTGGGCTTTTCATTTGATTTGTATAGTGGCTTTGTATTTTGAGTTGTATTTGGTGCTTAAGATTTTTGTAAAGCTGCCTACTGAAATTAATATTGGGATGTTAAAGAAACTGGCCTTTGGGTTGTCAAATCCAGAGGATAGTTTCAGGTTGGGATTAGGATGAGACTTTCACTCCCAAGGTTGCGTAAGCACTGGCTTGGCACTTTCCCAGTGGAGTTCACATCCCTCTTGATTCCTTCCCATGGTGGGTGCTCTTGTGGTTCTTCTCTGATTCTTCTGGGTTTCCCTTTGCCCAACCATAAAATGAGTAGAGGTCCACCTGGTGTTCCTTCTTTTTAAACAACAAAAAAATAAACAACTTTATTGAGATATAATGTATATACCATACAATTCTTTTATTCATTTATTTATTTTAGTACATTTCATTGATTATGCTATTATAATAGCATAGAATGTCCCCATAAAAATGTCCCAGCTTTTCCCATTTTGCCCCCTTCCCCTACCCAGTACCCTCCTTTCCTCCAACAACCCCTCTGCTCCTTAGTTCATGTCCATGGGTCATGCATAAGAGTTCTTTGGCTTCTCCATTGCCTATACTATTCTTAACATCCCCCTGTCTATTTTGTACTTACCAATTATGCTTCTTAATCCCTTGACCTTTTCCCCCGTCCCCCTCCCACCTGATAACCTTCCATATGATCTCCATGTCTATGATTCTGTTCTTGTCCTGCTTGTTTGCTTAGTTTATTTTTGTTTTTATTTTTTAGATTCAGTTGTTGATAGTTGTGAGTTGTAGTCATTTTAATGTTCATAGTTTTGATCTTTTTTTTCTTAAATAAGTTCCTTTAACATTTCATGTAATAATAGCTTGGTGATGCTGAATTCCTTTAGCTTTACCTTGCTGGGAAGCACTTTATCTGCCCTTCCATTCTAAATGAAAACTTTGCTGGATAGAGCAATCCAGGTTGTAGGACTTTGCTTTTCATCACTTTGAATACTTCTTGCCAGTTCCTTCTTGACTGCAAAGTTTCTTTTGAGAAATCAGCTGACAGTCTTATGGGAACTTCTTCGTAGGTATTCTCTTCTTTTTCCTTGGTGCTTTTAACCTTTGGCATTTTAATTTTGATGGTAGGTACTCTCTCTTTATTTTTAACCTTTGGCATTTTAATTTTGATGTGCCTTGGTGTGTTCCTTTTTGGGTCCAACTTATTTGGGACTCTCTGAGCTTCCTGGACTTCCTGGAAGTCTGTTTCTTTTGCCAGATTGGGGAAGTTTTGTTTTTTTTTTTCATTATTTTCCAAGTAAGTTTTCAATTTCTTGCTCTTCCTCTTCTGCTTTTGACAACCCTGTGATTCATGCATTGGTACGTTTAAAGTTGTCCCAGAGTTTCCTAAGCCTCTCCTCATGATTTTGAATTCTTTCTTCTTTCTGATCTGGTTGAATGTTTTTTTCTTCCTTTTGTTCCAAATTGTTGATTTGAATCCCAGCTTCCTTCTCTTCCCTGTGTGTTTTTCTTTATTTCACTTAGTGTAAACTTAATTTTTTCCTTTACTTTTTAGTTGTACTCGTGAGTTCTTTGAGCATCCTGATCACCAGTGTTTTGAACTCTGCATCTGATAGATTGGCTATCTCCATTTCTTTTAGTTCTTTTTCTGGAGTTTCGTTCTGTTCTTTCATTTTGGCCATATTTCTTTGTCTCCTCAGTTTGGCAGCCTCCCTGTGTTTGTTTCTGTGTATTAGATAGAGCTGCTTTTACTCCCTGTCTTAGTGCTGCCTATGTAGAAAAGTGACCTGCAAATCGTGTGGGGCAGAGCCTTAGGTAATTGCCAGGGCAGGGCAACCCACTACACCACTTTGTGGCTCTGTGTGTGTGTGTGGGGGGGGGTGGGCGCTTGGAGAGGGAACAGGGCTGCTGCCTGGCCTCTGGAGGCCTGCCCAGCACTTGCCTCCCTTCCAGTCACCTTACCCACTTCCCATATTGTGATTGGCACCCTTCCAGCTCCTGCTGCGGGGTTTGCATATGTTCTCAGCCCGTATGGGCCCTTTAGGCAGCAAAAATATGGTAGTTTCTTCTGCCAGCTCAACCCACACAGGTTTTTACAGCCAGAGGTAATGGGGGTTTATCTTCCTGGTGCTGGAACCCTGGGCTCTGTGGTCTGGCCTGGGGCTGGGATTGCGTGTTCCCAAGGCATCCCGCCTGATTTTTATCTACCACATGTGAATGTGGGACCATCCATCCCACCACTGCTGCAGCTGCCTCTCCGCCCTGTCTCTGTCACTCAGCCACTCCTACACATCTGGATGAATGTGGCTTCTTTAAATCCTTGGTTGTCGACTTCCATATACAGCTTGATTTTCTTTTTTCTTTTTTAAATACTTTTATTTATTTATTTATTTATTTTTTTAAAGGAATAGACTGACTTTTTTTTTTTAATATTTTATTTATTTATCTTTAGAGGGGAAGGGAAGGAGAGAGGGAGAGAAGCATCAATGTATGGTTGCCTTTCGTGCATCCCCTGCTGGGAACTGGCCTGCAGGGAACTGGTGTGCAACCCAGGCATGTGCCCTGACTGGGAATCGAACCGCGATTGTCTGGTTCGCAGGCCCTCGCTCAATCCACTGAGCAACACCAGCCAGGGCCAGCTTGATTTTCTGATGGTTCTGGGTGTTACTTGTTTTTGAGATCTGTTTGTGGTTCTTTCTGTGATTGTGCGAGGAGGCAAAGCGTGTCTATGTACGCCTCCATCTTGACCGGAAGCTCTGGTGTTCCTTTCTGTAGTGTGTTTTTTTCAGTAATAGCCACTAGTGAGTCATGCCTCCTGGTAAGGCATCCTACATTGACTTTGAGTTTGGTCATGTGATTTTCTTTGGCCAATGAGGTGTTAGCAAATGTGCTTGCTAAGTCCTGTAAATTGGGACTGCCCACTTAAATGCTGCCCTGAGACCATCATGCTATAAAGAAGACTAAATGGAAGGCCACATGGAGAGAGAGGTCCAAGTGCTCCAGTTGTTCCAGTTGAGGCCAGCCCCCTGCTG